GAATCAGAAAACGATGTTAAATAAATTGAATTATCAATAAGTTTAACGATGTGTTGCATAAATAATATATTGCTTTTTATCCCGCACAAGTTGCATGATCTAAATTGCATTTGTTAACTCGTAAACAAACTGCCTATACGGGTAACGAGAGGCAGAGAAGAAAACATAAAATATACATCCGAAGAACTCGTTAAATGTCATTGCGGACATATTTATGCAAAACGTATCAGTTGTGTTGTTTTTTTAAACCGGCTCCTTTGAGACTTGGGTCTAGATAACGGTGTTCAGATCTGACACAGTAAGGCCTCTTAAATAAATTAATTATAAAGTCAGGCCATTATTAATAAATTTAATGAAGACGAGGCTGTGGGAACTTCTTCGCGATATTTGTCCTAATTGAAAATACTTTTATTGGTACGTACGCCATAATTGGGGCAGGACATTGCATTATCTAACTGAAACTTTCCATTGCAATAGCTTTTATTCCGGCACGGTTCATATGATTCGCAGTATTTATAAGGTCAGATTCGATTTAAGTTTTATCAAGATCAATTTCACATTCAACTTCTCCAGGTATCCCGGCATCAAGCGCGTCGCTTCGGAAACAGTTACACCGTGCAACTCCCGACGAACTAGTTCGTATTGCGGCCCAATGCCCGTTATTACCGCGTGAACGTTACGAATGCTCTAATGAGTGCGATTATGCAACGAGCCAATACTTGAAATATTCACCATCTACGTGCAAGTCGGTCATAAATATTTTAATAAACCTCCAGTAAGGCGAGCTCGAGTCGCGTGGGTGACCGCTCCGTGGGACCGTATCGGGCGCCAAGCTCTCGCAAACCTTATGCTGCGGCTGTTGGAACTTTATTGGGCCTTATCCTAAAGCCTTAGGGACTATAGTCGATTTCGCGGACTGTTTAAGCTCAAACGGACGGCGGATTACGTGAACAACGTCTAGCAGATATCCAGACCATATCTGTGAACGGTTTATCTGCCTGTTTGATGTTTTATTAAATACTGCATCCTTACAGATAGCGTGCCAATCGATTGGACGCCGTTATCTTTTTTATTTATAGTGGAAATCTGTAAAGCGGCCATTTCTGTGTTTATTATGTACGAACTTGTATATTATCTTTAACAGTTTATTTGTCAGGCTGTTTTGCAATATCGATATATTAACGTCAGTCGGTCGATTACTTTATGTCCAACAAATATGAAAAATTATATTCCTGATGGGTTAACAGCTTGACTAATTATCATGAGAATTGATAACTGATCCAACTAAGGTACTTTGTTTTTGTGCATAATATTTGTGTGATTGGGATTCGAAGCTCACACAGCTCTAAGACGGTAACCCAGTTGAGTTTTCCAGTTAGTGTTAGACTATTTCGCTCTTGTTTGCGGATACCTGGTATCTACAAAACCGCGATAACAGTTAGACGGATTTCGAACAGATGTGGTATGAACGGTCAGAGGTTGCGCAATATACCTTGAACAGACATGAGAACCAATTAGGTAATCCATATTGCAAGAACGAAGAATCATCAAACGAGGGCTCAACTTTATCCAACAACTTATATGGTCATCATTCCTAAAGACTACACATTTTTTGGAACATGTGATGGTACAAGAAGGGAACCGATAATATTTTGAAAGGCAGGCGATATTATGTTATTCATCATTATATAGCGCTGAGAATCTCAAAAGGGGAATGTGCCACTTTCTGAACGGCTTACAACCTACTCTCCCCTGGCGTTGCGATAATGTTTTAATTCAAGTCTTTTGACGATTTCGACAACGTCGATGAAATGGTTAGATCAGAACAAACATTTGGACACGGGAGCTAAATGATTAGACAACTGTTACGCATCAATAATAATAATAAAATATCTTTATTCACATAGACGCTTGCGCGTTCTTATGAAACGTCAAAATTTTACAAGAAATTAACACGTTCGTAAGTTACCACCGGTTCGGAAAGCAGTTTCGAGTGCAATTGCTGCCTCACATTTATTTAGGCTGTGATCCAAATCTTTTGTGCAACATAAACGAGGCATTTAAAGACAGGTGACACTGGTAATGGCTGCGGCGGGGCAGGCGTCAAACTGCGCCTAGCGCTCCAATTCGAGGTGGCTTCTCAAAAGAGCAGGTTGGCGAGGCTCTGCTATAAATAACAGCGTACCCCTTCACTTCCACCCACGGGTATCGGCCCGGCGCCTAGCGCTGGGCGCGACATTCCGATCAGCCGTGCGTCGAACCCGACTCCGGCCTGTCCGCGAAACTCGAATGCGTTATCGAGTGCAGATTTGAAGGTGACAGCTACGCACTTGTCGTCAGCCGTCTAATTTCGATAGAGAAGCTTGGTTGCGACCGAAAGCTTAGAATCCGGTAATGTATAGAATTATATCCAAGCATACAATCAATGCAAGTTTAATTGAGCTCGTCAGTTATTTATCGGACTGAAATAAATAGTCCTAAATTTGACTGTGATGTAAAACGTAGTGCGTCCCGTTCATAAAGTTCATGAAACTGATATAGTTGATTAAATTAATCAATTCGTTAAATATTATAGGCCAAAACAAGTATAAGGAACCTTCTGAAAATTCGTAAAAGATCATGAAACACGTATAGCTGAAATGGTGTTAAATATAGAAGAGAAACCGCTTTAGAATAAACTTGACCATGAAAGAAAATGGGTTAAGTTGACCTTGCATTTGCTAAAACTCACGTTTATTAGCGAAGCGTTAGTTTTTTAGTTAACAGTTAAAATAATTTCTTCGCAGAAATGTTTTTAATTTATTGGAAACTTAGATAAAAATATTCTATAGCCATATATGTTTATTCTATTTTATACCCTCTCTATTCTCGTTAGGTTAACTCGAGATATCGCTATTTCATTTTCACCTTCGACACGTACAACTGTGTATCAATCCAACGCACCCACTTCTTAAACATAATTATAACATCCATTACGGCACGCATCGGAAGCGGTCGAAGAGGGATTACTTAATACCTTCAATCTTAACGAAGTAACAGTTGGACGATTGCCATTCTGATCAGTTACACGATTTTTTCCAATTAAGATCGGTTGACGAGCTAGGCTCAAACATTCGCCTGGCTCTCGTCCAACGGTTTCACCCTCAGCAACTTAAATTGATTTTCGAGGGTTTCACTGAACAGCATTTCACTGACAGAGTTCATGTCAAGAAGTTTATGCTTCCACGTTCGGAAGAAACGTGCTCAAGTTATGTAAGTTATACAAAGTGGTACAGCAACGTATATATAGTACGCCCAGTCGTAAAACAGTGTACAGGTGTTTAAATATTCTTATGCGTCCATTATCTTAATTCGCGAGCGAGTACCGCTGCGCGTTGTGTTTTTTTTTTTGAAGGTAAAATTTGCCGAAAATCTTACGCATTCCATTTCATGTCTGGTTGAAAGCGAAGGAAGGAGTTTTCGTATATTAGGGATTATGCTGTTTTCGCTGATATTTTTTCTAAGGACAAATTGGTGTTTTGAGAACAATATCTGATTAACTTTATTTCTTTACCTTATACCTTTGGCAATTTTTACTTCAGCCATGTCTAACATGTTTGTTTAACACTTCATATTACTTTATTAATAATATAAGTTCCTCATGGCTTGACAGAAAATAAGCTTGAAGGCTTAGTGTTATTTTTACGTAACAGTGCCTTTTCCGGCGCAGAGATTATATCACGTAAATTGTTATACAGATTTGTATTTAATTCTCCATGATCCTTCATCTTTGCCTAGATTTGGGCAGACGATTCACTATAGAATTCCCCCGGTACCTCACTCAAATTAAATAACGTCAAGTTAAATACTTCCACTACATTACAGTCTTCTGTGAGGATAAACCTGCCCATTCGTTCATCAGAAGAAGGTTGCGTGGCTCCACTACAGAAAGTATAACTTTAAAATCATATCAATTTTGAAATCCTCATCTCGTTCCTAGACAAATGATCTCTCTTGGATAGATCTCTCCGACATTGTGCATCACAAAAACAGTAGTTGAATTTTATTTCCCTTACAATAAAACAAATAACTCCTTTGATTTATTGTTGTGAGTCAAATAATTATTCAAAGATAATATATAAGATATTTAAGCATAATTGGTACATGAAACTGATAATTAAATATCAATTCATCGCACTCAAGCAAATCTTGGGACAAGTTATGCCTGTCGCGGTACATCGAATAAAAAATATGTTAAGAAAAGAAACAGTTTCAAGACGTAACTATAGAATACGATTGAGTTTGAGTCCCTAGGGAGGCGTCAAATGCAGGTTTCAAGATGGCAGCCGCCGGGCGTCCAGATCTTTACGGCCTATTAAATTTATTTCAGGGCATCGAGAGGCGCCTTTTTATGGGCCCGCTCAGCTGCCAGCTATTGCGTTTGCAATTGGACTCCGCTGTATGGCTATAACTTTGGAATTCCTTAATGCGTCTCATTGTTACGGAACGCCCTCGAAATTTGGCTTTCATTGCCAATTTCGATCGCTACGACGTCTCAATGTCGTAATTCGCATTTGTATTTAACATTGCTAACATGTATTTTGTCGTAATATGTCCAATCAACTGTGGTAGGGCCCGAAACAGTATTCGCTGTTGCAGGAATGGGCAGGTCCGTCCGAGTAAGTACCACGACCACACAGAAGATCGGTGTGAAGCGGAAGTGTTATACTTCTTCGTTTCGTCTAGTGAGTGGGATAGCCGGGGCTCACTTTTTTAAAAGGTGGCAACGCATCTGCAACCCTAAGGGTGTTACAAATGTCATTGGGCGGCAGTTATCACTTAACATCAGGTGAACCGTCCGCTCGTTTTCCACTTTCTCACATAAAAAAATATAACTAAGTGACACCGCTGAAATATCGACATAAGTATTTCGTTATAAAAATTTATATCCTGGAATTAAAGTAGAGATTTCAATCTAGGACGGCCTAATATCCGGCTCCGAGGACCAATCGGTATGGGCGATGAAAAACTACTCAGCCCGCCTAATTAAAGCGCTGTCCTTCGTCGCGGATTTGCATCGGTTCGATAAGTGGCGGGTAATGAGAGGCGGCGTGCCGGCGCCCGTAGATCACGCCAGATGGCGCCACGGAGACGCCGCCGCGGCCGATCGCGCAATCGAGCGGCGCGATCGTAGATCGATGGCGGTTTTTTGCGGAGACCCACCCGGTACAGTCGACTAGGGAGCCTGGAGTCGTCTAGACTAGATCCCCGATTACTCGTTCGAATCTAACGTCGAGGACGCACTCGGTTCAGTAGAGAGCCTAGAGTAGAAGTGTAACAATTCTACATTACTATTCTGGGAGGTCGTGGTACATACCCGGACGGACCTGCCCATTCGTGCAACCCGTTCCGTTCCCAGAAAGAGATACAATGTGAGCATGAGTGTGGTATTGTCATAAAGGCAAGAGTGATGCCTGAGGCTAAATCTCTGCTTACCATCAGTATGGCAGTTCCGGCGTGCTTTACCCAAGGAAGAGATGAGTTCTCCCCAGAGGGATGTTGAGGTCAGCGATGGCGAAGTGACAGTTGTGTGTGAAAGCGTTCCAGGTTTCCTACCGATGTGCGCCCATCGTGAAGGTTTCAGTCGATTAAAGTTTTACATATTCCGTCTTTGTCTTGTATGTATTTTCTGTAAGTAATCGAAAGAGAAATAAAGTTGAATGGTTAAAGAATGGTATCGGTATCGCAAAATATTGTATCAAAACAATGAGACATTGTTAGACGTACTATGATTATGAAACAAAGTGATTATCACTAGTCAAAAAGCAACTGCCGAAAGCTGAAATTATGAAATTGCGAAATAACCAAAGTAGAAAAAATCGCTTACAGAAACCGTCTCACCATCCACAATCATGTGGCAAATGGCCTACAGTAAAAGCTATTTTGTTACCGTTGCCTAATGAGCAAAAAATTTTATTAAATTCAATCGACGACCCGTTGCCTTTATAGCATATCCAGGCAAAGCCTGCTTTTGTTTATTAGAACATACTGGAGGGAAAGATCGCTCTGTCCTAGCTACACTTGCCGCGGAGCTTGGACCGCGTGGGCTGCCACACGATTGTGACACCGCGGTGGCTTTTTCCGCCGCGTGGGCAGATAATTATGTGTCCGTGGATAATTTATCTAAGTGAATGCGCTCGGAACTAATGACCGCGTTCGATTGAACCGATGTTGGACGCTTTGGCGGAACCCTAGTGACAATTTGTCGCACGCATGACGGTAGTTAATACTTACGCAGTGAATGATAAAGAAATGACAAGCTCCTCTATGCTGTTGTACGTTGACCTAAGTAGTTCACGGGAATTTTAAATGAAAATTGTAGCTTAAAGATCTTTAATTAATTAAGTAATGGCTAGATAATTGTATCAAACTTTGCTTATATTTTATTACTTAAAAATATTTTCTTTCCTTTAGGACACTGTTAAATCTCTTCGAACGCTAACTGAGGGTAATTTCAAATAAAACAGTCTAAAGTGAATTTGGGAAGGTGTTCGTATTATACAATCTCATACGAGCAGAATGGTTATTTATAATTCGCAGACAAGGATGCTATCCCAGCGCATTTATTGATGATATAAAAACAGTAGTACTTAAATTATGTTGAGTATAATAAAAGGTCCCATTCCTAGGCCTTCCGCGCAAAATACAGTAAATGTCAGCTATAATGTTCTGAAGCTTCTTAACTGGCAAAGGTAACCCGTCTAACCAATAACAAATAATACCGATATAATCTTGTTCAACTAAGCAATAAAGCGTTAAATTTCCATTCGAGTTTAAATAAAATAACGGGTTATAACAAGAGAAAATTAAATGGAACACCACTTTTGAAAGAAGCACCAGATATTCCGCAGTCTCTGTGAAGTCTATCTATAGTCGAACAAAACCCTCCGAAATCTATTAAAATTTTTATGTGTATCTTAAAAAAAACAACTTTAATACGTCGTAATTTATTCTGACACCTCTGTTTATTGGCTTACTCTATGTATTTTTAATGACGAATAAACATGAACAAGAAGCCGTTTTTATGGATTAGTTTATGGTTAGTTTCAAATTATAAACATAACCCCTGTTTTAATCGTATGTCCGTAAAATGTTCAGCCGAATACGGACACTAAATGCTACAAAAATCATTCCCAAAATAAGGGAGATGTCTGATTTTAATAACATATTTGCTTCTCCTTTCAGGTAAGTAACAGACGATATCCGAATCAGCCGATCATCCCACGAAGGTATCGTTATCACGACGTCGCTTGAAAAGTACAGTGTATCTTTTCACGTCACGAATTCTCTCCGCTTTCTTCAAAATTAATAATTCAGGAGTAAGTTCCTCTCGGGTCGTGTGGGGGCGCAGAAAAGCGGTTCCTAAACGCCGATGACTAGTTGAAACCGTTAGGAGGTTAGACAAAAGAGATCGTCTTGAGCCTTCAACTGAATTTTAATACGGCGAAACTCACCTTACGAACTGGTCCTAAAGTTCAATTTGAACTGTTCATTAATAACTAAATCTATTTAAGGTATAAGTGTACGAAACGCTTAGATTCTATCTGACAGTGCATCTATCTTATTTGTACTGATATTGCCTTGGAACAGCGACAATTATTTTCTTTATTTTTCCTTTGGAAAACATTTTTGCTTCCTTATTTTTCAATACTTAAAAAGGCATGGTTTCTAAAGAAATTTTTATGTGAAGAGTTGGTAATGGAGCAGGTGGTTGATGTTAGGTGATCACTGCCGCCAAGACCTGAGGGGTTACAGATGAGTTGCCAGCCTTTTATAAACTGGATTCCTGTTACATCAGCTTCAGACGAAATGCGAAGTACAATACTCTTTTTCTTACACTCCACGCCAGTGTTCTGTGAGGCTGTGAGCAGTAAAAGCCGCTGCGGGGCCTTACCACAGATACTTTTATTAACATACGATCATTATATAGAATTGTAATTATGCAACTCAATAATTGTACATTACATTAATAGCATGAGCCAATATGCAGTATATCACTTTGATGTCTAATAAGGAAGCCCTTTCCTTAGCTCACGTTGGCTCAGATGATTGAAACTCGTCGGCGAAGTTAATGAAACTGGCTGAAGCGATGGCCGTAACGTGTTAAAACGTAATCGACTACGTTATACGAGGTGCGGTCGATTCGAATTCAAATCGGGACCTCCTGTCGTTTACGCCCCGGCTCGGCGTTTACATTTTCACACCCACAGAGTGATACACTTAACATTTCGATATCGTCGATTATAAATTGTAACGGCCGCGGCGAACAGCCGTTTTTATTGACAACTCATTTCAAAATCCCATTATGAGCCGCCGATAAGCCTTACAACCCGAAATAGCCGTTCACCTCTTGAATAGTGCAACGTTGGTAAACCGGGCCTACGTAACGACATATTTTATTCAAATTCGACGTAATAAAAGTATAATTTTAAAATATTAAAATGGGTCACGTACGTGTTCTGAAGTCGTCATAAACATGTTGATAATAATGTTTTCTCGTATACAAAGCCTGAGAGCTCTGATCCAAAGAATTCTGATCTGATCAGAATTCTTTGGATTTTCTTGGCAAAGAAATAACACACCGGTCCATAAAAAACGCGGTCGTGCGCTCTACTCACCGTAAAATTGAAAACAAATTTGAAATTAGTTAGAAAAATGTTTTAACTTCTGAATGAATTAATTATCTAATTGTTCAAAAGACATTTGTTAGGCATGTCAATACTAACAAGTGTGCATACTTCAGTAATCGGTATACTAAAGTTTTGTAGATTCGGCCAAAACTCCGATATTGACATTTCTTCATGGCGGTATTGTATCATTATTAAGATAAAATAACTTCTCCTATACTCGCTCGCGGCTTATGTAAATCACATAACAAATATGAAAAATCTTTTCCCGCCTTTCCCGTGGATTCACCGTTCATTGAAAATTGAAATCCTCTACAATCCGGCCGCAATATATTACACAGTCTCCTGTCCTTATCTACAGCCTACCGTCGGAGAGGGTAGACGAATACCGCCAGTGGCATTATAACGGTAGTCCTCCGTAAAATCAACGGCAGAACGGCAAACGGGGCGAGGCAATTCTTTTCCCCGTGTATGAATTATGCACAATCCCCGGCCACTTGTTTAAGCGGAGATTTCATCGGCTCACTCGCTCTTCCCCACACGCACAGAGGAAGTCTCGCATTATGAGATACAGCAAATTGAATTGAATTGTTCTTTATCGTTCTTTGGTAAGAAATAGATGATAATGAAATGACGGGATCATGCGAAAATGTTTTTTTTTCTTTAATGTGAAAAGTCGCCAAACGAGCAGACGGTTTACCTGATGTTAAGTGAATACCGCCGCCCATGGACATCTGCTACACCTGAGGGTTTGCGTTGACAACCTTTTTAGAAATTAGGCTCCGGCTACCTCACTCACCAAACGAAACGCGAAAGTATTATACTTCCACTTTACGCTGGTCTTCTGTGAGGTCGTGGTACTTACCCGGATGAGCCTGTCCATTCTTGCAACAGTCGAGGCTGCTGCTTGGCCCTACCACCGTAAAATATTAAAGATATATTATTATATTAACATTAAAATATGAAATTAATATTATTATATTTAACGTTTTATCAATTGTTTTTACAAAATGTCTCAATGATTTTTTCACTAGTGTATTCGCGAAAATATGAATTAATTAATGAATACTTAATGTAACTTTAGGGTGTTTTCGATAAATATCAAGCATCTGTTCAACACTGGCCGCACTTAATCCACGACATAACGGTCTCATAACCAAACACGAGTTTCGTTATCGACATTGCTATTTGAGGTGAGCGGGCGAAAAATATTTGCCGTTCTCATAAGAGATAAGACGCAGTGATTTATAATCTCACCGCGCCTAATACTTTCCTAAACGTCGAGATTTTTTTTTTCATATCAGGTTTTCTGAGCGGGGTCACAAGACTTTCGCGGTGCGAAAATTTTATGAGGACACGACGGGTTACTTTCGTTCATAAGTTGCATACGATTAATTATCGTTAACCTCTGAATTTTACAGATATAAGTAATAATCATGTTTCTAGATGACTAGTTTTTAAGGATTCCATACCCAAAGGGTAAAACTCTGTCTGTCCGTCTGTCACCAGGCTGTATCTCATGAACCTTGATAGTCAGACAGTTAAAATTT